GGTACCTATGGCCTCCCGTCAGGGTGTTTTCATTCTGTATGGTGGATGCGCTCGAAGCACAGCGGGATAAGGTCAATCAATACATTCATTTTGAGGATGTCAAAATCCAGCACGTAAACGATGTTTTTGGCATGCGCTCGCCTGGTCTGTTTACGTGGCTTGTCGGGTGGCGCGTAGTGCAGAATGATGTCGGGTGATTCGGGATCGGTGCTTAGTTGCACCTTGCAATCCATGAGTTGCGACACCGAGAGGAGGTTGAACCTCAGATTTTGCTTGATGAGCACATCGTTGAGCGTGATGTGCGTGTTGCTCCCGTGCGCCTAGAGGACAACGATGCCTTCCGCACTTGCGCGCAGGCAGTCGTTGTTCGCCACGGTGATGTATGTAACCGTGAGAGTTGGGACGGCGTTGGATATATAACGCGAAGAGCCCACCATGTTTTGCCCACAGCAGCTATGGAGGTACCACGCGTTGTAGTGCCTATTGTCAGCACGCGCGAGCAGAGCAAGTCGCGGCGTGGCGATTTACGGAGTGTCGAACTTGAGAAATTGTTCGCACACAATCCAGTCGATGGTTGCCGCCCGTAAAATTAGGTACATGTGGGGGGCTCTCAAGCAGCGGGACTAGTAAGTTCCACTCCTAGTCGCCATTGTCGTCGTATTCGCGACTGGGGGTGAACAAATAATTGTCCGTGAAGGCCCCTATTGGTTGTAACGCTGGCTTTGGCGGCGGTGCGTGCCCGTGGCGATGACGGATTCCTTGTGTGTGGCTTATCGTCATGTTGTTGATGACTTTGGCGCTCGGGTCCGGGTTGTGACGGCTGCTGATGCTGGTGCTGAACCGATGGGTTCGTCTTGTTGGCCGGCCCAAGTGCTCGGGCTGGACTGGCAAGAGGTGAAGAAGAATTTACATTGCCCGACCAAGTGCCAAAGTTTCTACAGATTTTGCAGTAGGGGCGCCACATTCATCGCTCTTCTTTGTTGTCGGTGTAGAAGGCAAGAGGTTCCCGTTCTCGTCGCAGCGCGGGGCGCTGCTGATCCATATCCTGTTGTTCAACGAGAAGGGTAGCACATAGGGCGGCTTCTAAGATAGCCCCTTGTTGCTGGAGGAGCGCCTTCCAGGGTCGCCATTCAGGGCTGAGTCCTACGAGCATGTTATCAACAAAATTTTCTTCTGAAATTGAGCTCCCAAGTTTTGCGATTTGATCGCGAATGCTCTGGCAACGATTGATGTAATTGTTTGCCTTCTCTCCAGGTCCCATATTGATCTCCATTAGCTGCTGAAGAAGTTGACTTGACGAGATTGAGTCTTTGGCATGATACACACTGGTAAGGTGTCGCCAAGCTTCAAGTGCCGGACTAGGTGATGTTTTGTAGGAACGAAATCTCAGCTACTCCGTTGGCGACAAGTTGCGTAGCAACACGCTGTATGTTGATTACAGAAATAATTCTATGTAATTCAATCAGCCGATTTCACTTTATACGGGGCGCACCAGAATATTTAGCTTGGAGCTGAAGCGGAAACGGATTTTCTACTTTCGAGACGAAGTCAACAGAGGTCTCGACCAATGGGAGCACTCCATAGGGGAAATGGTGGTGTTTTGAGTGGGAGGGGCGAAATCAGTTCAGCCCCTTGATTTCGACCAATGGGAGCAAGGCAGGGATAAAAACGTGGTGTCAGAGTGGGAGGGGCGAACTGAACATTGACCAATGAGGTTGCAGTTCGCTGCTCAAAATGTGAGTTCGAGTTTGGGTGGGTGCAAGTTCGAGTTGAGTGCTTTCTGGACCAATGAGAGCGAGCGGTTCTTGCTCAAGATGCAAGTTCGAGTTGAGAAGTGAGTTTGCAGCTGTTCGTACTACTAGATTTGGGGGAATGGGATTGGCTGATGTTCGTGAGCGTGTTATTAGCGTGTTCATTAGCGTGTTCGTTAGCGTGTTCATTAGCGTGTTAATTAGCGTGCTCAGTAGCGCGAGCGTCATATGCTCGCGAATCGTTTTTTCTGCGTAGGTGGGTAGATCACCAAGGCTTCGGGTAAGTTCGGGTGCTCACATTTCTTAGCAGCACTGACAGTTCGGATCAGAAGTAAGTTCAGAACGAGGGCACGTGGCGAGCAGCAGTTGAGCGATCGGATGCAATGCTGATCGCCACTGACATTTCGACTCGTTCAGGTTTTGAATGGACTTCATCGCAACCATTCGAGATTGGCGCGAAGTGAAATTATCGGATCGGCACCGTCAACAATGTTCGTGCGCGAAAGACGAAATATTTCGGCGACGCATCGAGTGCGCGCCAGGTCATGAAGGGAATGGGAGGGAACCTGAAAATGTGAGAGAATTACCGCGGCGCGGGCTTTGCATTTGTGATTTTTTTTCATCGCGCTCAAGTTTTTGCATAACCCAAAACTCTGACACCCCACCTTCTGTCTCGCGCGGTACGCGCTCCCGACATTTGGCCTTCAATGAAGTCGTGTACATGTAAGTGTACGGTCATATCGGAACTTTTTGGCTCGAACCCAACCGCGAGCCTCCAAATTTGTGGGAACCAAACCTGCGTAGTGCTGGTTTGCCAAGCCTACGTGTGATTCATCGCAGTTGAGGCTCAACACTGCGCCATTCTCACGACGGTTCATTGAGCGCCAAATGGCAGTCATTGAAATGGCGAGTTCATAAGCAATTGCCGCTTCGCATCGCGAACGCGGACCAATAGGAATCACGGTCGAACATGAACGAACCAGTACACGTGGATGGACAGCCATTGGTTACTTCCCGCCGAAACATTGAGGGATAAGATTTTGGACTGATGCCATGCATGCACGTCAACGTGTATGCAATGGTCAATGTGTTATGCATTTCACAACACGGAAATTAGCACCAATCGCAGCCCGCCGTTCATGAACTTAATTGGACACTTAGAATGTTTGCCGGATTGATACACGTGCTCATTAGCGAGCATGCGTTAGACGACCAACGAGGTAAATACAGCTCAGCAATAGCAATCCGAATGTTATCGCCAACGTCACTATACATGCCAGCTGCATGCTATTTGGCTAGAATCCACCTCCTCGCGTGTGATTCTCACCTTTCAAGGTGCACCCATCAGGGTTTGCTCCAACAGCCTTGCACCTGTGTACATCTTCGATATGCTAAAAAACAGACCGCGAGCATGTGCCAACGAGAATACGCCAGCACAGCCCTTGTGGTCCCCAACATGATAAAACAGCGTTCGCCTCGCGAGCTCCAGCCATTCAGCGCTCGCCGTGTTCAGCACGCACATCTCAAACGCGTTGGCAGCTCTTGTTCGGGATTCGAGAACCCTCTTCACTGGCACTCTTAACAATAGTGAATCTTGCTCAGTTCCCAATCTGTTAGACAGAGAGTCAGCCTCTTGTTTTTAAGAGCTTCGCCGGCCCTTTCGAACTCAGGCCGATTAGCAGCTCCGGTAGCCCTTGTTAACTAGTTTACGAGCTATAGACCCGCAAGGACAGCGTGATCCATATTCGTTTCCGTTAAATTTCCACTCACCCGCTTCAACCACTTCCTACAACTCAAAATGCCTACGGGCAGGCCTGACGACCTAGTCAAAGTAGGAGACGATGATGATGAAGAGCTCGTCGAGTTAGATGCAGAGTCTGACTACGTAGATGCGGGAGGAGAAGAAGCCCCGAAGGTCCCTGGTGGCCGACGCAGCAACCGTAATAGGGGCGGCCCGCACCAAAAACGCCAAAAGACGTCTGGTGCAGAACAACAACAGCAACATACCACTGGACCGACTACAAGAGCGCACCGTTCACGAGTCACAGAAGAACCGTATTCATTCCAACCACCTCCTCCGCCACAGAAAGCGTTACCCCCGGCACAAGATCTTATAGTCGAAATGGCCCGGAGCAACAAGCAGCTCCCGGGCATTACCCCGGCGTGCCGAGCTAAAAAACAACCATCGGTGAAGAGTGGCAACTGGCCCACGAAGATGATTGCGAATTGGCATGGGTTCGGGGTTTCGTTGAACGTCGCTGACGCTCTCCACATGCAGGATGCGGCACCAATCACGGACACTGCATTGGACTTCCACAACATGTAAGTCCCCCCATCCCTTTGGAGACATTACTTTACTGGATGCCTGAATGAAGAGTCCTAATATTACACACTCCATGCTACAATCCTAAACGCTGAACCCTCCCTGCCTGTACCCATGCAGCCTCTTGGACATACGCCATCCGAAATTGGACAACGGAAAAACATGGATCGCGCTTGATGTCAAAGCATACGACTACCGGGCCTCACAGATGAAGCTCATCGCTTGCTGCGAAGACAAGGACACCTTTTTGCGCTTCGACTATGTGGCAATCTTTGCCTCGGCTGAGTATGTGCAGCAATCTCTTGCCCGAATTTGTGCATACGGCTACTCCATTCTAATCACTCCCGTCGTGTTTCCTTCAGGTTTCACTTCAGCCTGTTTGTTCTGGAGAACGCAAGCACGCTTGTCACATCATGCGAGGGTGGTGAGGAGCCGCCCCCCCCCCCAAACTGTGGCTATATGATTCGACAGGCCACCACGCAGGCAACACCGCGGTCGTCACTAATGTTCGCATGTAAGTCTAGGGGCAGAGTGTTCTTGTAACCGGTTTGGCGCAAACATTGATAATCGATTTTCATGTTCTACGGTAGGATTCTCGCCTCGGAGCTGAACCGTGTCTACCCCGGACTTTCACGGACGGTGGTCGAGTCCCGGATTGGCTCCATCCCGTATCGCGTACTTGATGTAAGACAGTTTAACCATCGACTTTCAAACATGCTAACCCACATTTAGAATGCCTAATCAAGCTCGGTTGTTGTGCACAGATCACTTACGAGATACCGCCGCAGCCCGAGAAGAGTCTCGACTGTGGCATCTACGCTGCCATGTACCTCCACTTGCACCTTACCACCAACTTCCAACACCTCGGCGGTCCTATCGCCTTCACAACTTCCCCCCTGCGTTTCCGTAGAGACTGGCGGGCAGACATGTGCGCCCATATCTCGGGCAATCTGTTATCTGCCCTTCAGACTGCGGGCCTCACTCTTCCCCCGCAGAAGCTCACACGTACAGGTGCCGTACCCACCAGTGCAGACGTGTCAGAGATGAGCGGTGTTGTCCGGGAGACGAGCTCCGAAGTGCAGACCCTGAAGAAGGAAGTCGCTGCTCTCCGCGCAGAGCAGGGCGAGCTGCAGTCGGAGTTCAGCAGCGTGAGCAAGCAGCTGTTTGAGCGCGTGGCGGCACTGAGAAGGCAAGGGAGACAGCCAACACCGTCGGCGGGTTGGGTGCGCCTGGCCAGCCAGACGTGGCCTCCCCATCCAAGCGGGTTGACTCTAGTCCCGACCCGGGACTCAGAGACACCGCGGCATCCCCCCTTGCAGGATTTCGCCAGACCTCGCGGATTGGGCCCAACGAGGAGGCAGCGCCGCCGCAACAGCACCAGCATGAACCCCACTACGCACCTGCATCGACGTCACCCGCCACCGCTACTGCACAGCCGCATCAGCCTAGCGTGCCACCGGGGCGGGACGCGGCGTACTATCAGCCGGGCACATCCCGACCTGCCCCGCCGCTACGACCGGTCGCGCCACTCCAAGCTGTGCCTCGCCCGTCCGCTCCCATATACCAAGGATACGCTCCTATGCCCCCTTATGCTCCGCCGCCCGGTATGCCGTTTTACTGGCAAGCCGGTCCACCGCAGCACGCACCCCCCCCGCAGCAGTCGTACCCACCGCCAGCCATCCCGAGTATGAGTGGCGCGGGTGAAGGCGGCGGGGAATGGATGCGCGACGCCGGAGGCGAGGCTGGTGCAGCTGGAGGTACTAACGATGCCTTCACCGGTGGGCGTGTAAAGTCCAAGTACGCGGGTGTTACCGGGGGGGGGAGATTCCTGGTTTGCCAAGCTCTTGATGCCGGCCCCAGATAACCCCATTCGCATGGGGCCTTTCTCGAGCGAGGAAGAGGCAGCTAAGGGATACAAGGCTGCCGCTGTGGTGGTTCGGCCGCAGGGTTATCGCATCCAGCGCAGTATTGAACTGACCGCGTCGGAGCAGCAGCTGCTGACCGGGTGCACCAGGCAGCATGTAGCAAGCCTAGCCGACCGTGGCCTCTGGAATAGGTGGCGCCGTTGGCGGCAGCTCATGCCGGAGCTGGCATCGGCACCACTTCTACATGTTCCTCACGCATCCACCAACATGCTGCCTCCGCGGCCGCGAGCAGTGCCGAGCAGCAGCCAGGCAACACAACCTCCGGGCATGGGCCACTCTCGAACCCCATGTGATCAGCAGCAATATTTAGATCAGCAACAGCACTACAACTGAGGTACGAGATTAGCTTGCGCTCCTTCAACTTTCCGACGTCTGTAGCTGACCGTCTTATACTCTTTGTGCTTTGGTGACAGGCGTCGTACCGCTCCAGTGGTGCAAGATCTTGAACCATCTACGCCAAGGGGTTTAATCACAGCGAAGTGCTGGCTTCCATGTGTGTGTCGTTATCTTAGAATGAAGCTTCATAGGGGTTTTAATATCGAAATTTGTTTAATAAACTTCCAGGGTTGCATCGCTCGTTGTAGACTCATGAGCATCCTAGGTTTGTGGCTGAATACGATCTGTAGTTCGTTTTGTTGCTACGTTTTTACACTTCCGTACACTACTGGACAAAGTCTGCAGAAACACAAACGAGTTGAGAATATTCCCAGTGTGTGTTAATTAACGAATCGAACGCAGCGCTGAATATTCCCAAAACATTACATGCGCTGAACTTAGTTTTTTAGCTACCTCTTAATTAACCATGGTAGCTTTACATTTCACATGTTCATCAAAACGACGCACCACTTTGGAAGCGTAGCTGGATGTACGATTATGTTTTTTACCGCAAACTCGGAACGACGCACTCTGTTTAGTTTTTGATTTCGACCGTTAATTAACGGCCAAAAGCCACGACAGGACAGTAGTGTTTACCACATCCCGAGGCGTGTTAATTAACGAGCGTAGCGCAGCGCGAACGCAAACTGTACATTGGTGGTAACCTTCCGGGGAAATGCTCAAAATCGGAAAACAGGTGGCACGGTAACACCGAGCGATGCACGCACTCTGTACTGTGTCTGTCAAAACTACAGGAATCGATATTCAAGCCTGCATGCCATTGGTTTTCATTGGGATAATGAGCAACGTGCAACACGAATGATTGGCAGGGATGGTTGAAACCTATCGTGCTTTCTCGTGTTTAAAACACTGTAACTTGCACGTCAGTTCAAACCAAGCACAAGACAAGGCAACGTTTTTTAAAAGCGCGCGAATGCAAATTTGCGCACCGCCAACTACACATTGTAAAATTCACCACGCTCACAAGGTACGCTGATATACTTCACACACAGCGCTTGGTTTCCTGCAATCCTAGCCAAACAGGTTTAGTAGCTTTACCCACGGACGAGCAGACAATACATACATACGATGAGCAATACTCTATACGGCTTACATGGTCCGCGACCTGTTATTAGTGCAATGCCGGACAGCAGTGGCTCTTCGACTGCTATTCAACACAACGAACAGGACGGTCCGGTGAATGCCTCGCAGACTGACGTCCATGGTCTTCTGTCGGGGAACACGGGCACCATTTACAATTGGCATTCGTTTGGAATTACTGTGTCTGGAGCAGATCTGGCTCGCATATCGTCCTACATGGCAGTGAACGACAACATCATCGACTTACACAACATGTAAGCACTTTATGGTTTAGTGAGTAATCATTTTTGGAAACCGGGTTGACGTACTCGTTCCACGTGCACACCCGACAGCTTGCTGGACATTTGTCACCCACGGCTTAGAAATGGGCAGACATGGATCGCTCTCGATTCCAAGGCGTTAGATTATATGTTGAATCATGGTAAACTGATTTCCTGCTGCCCAGCTAAACGGTCGTTTCTCGACTTTGACAACGTAGCGATTGTCGTCACCGGAAGGTAAATTTCAAGTGTTTACGCACCGCAAACCAAACGAGTCCCCATCTTTATTGATGAAAAATGCGGCTGGCAGGTTTCATTTCAGCCTGGTGGTTGTCGCCAACGCAAAAGAACTATTCGCGGATCCTACACCATTTGCACCTCCACAGAAGCCTAAGTTCTACCACTTTGACTCGGCAGGCATGCACTGCAAGACGGGGATTGAATGGGATGCGATTGAACGGTAACACACCCTTAGTTGGTCCACTATGGTGTTATTTCAAGGTTATTTCAGACTTGTCACTTTCTGGTCCCTGAGAAATCAGGTTTTTCGCATTCTGGTCCCTGATCCATTCAGAGTATTACTTTAGCAGACCCTGAAATTTTGTATACACTCTCAGTGTAGTGTTTTCACGGACCCTGTCAATACAGAGTACGCGGCCTGTAGACCCTGAATGCGATGTTATCGGGACGAAGTTTCTCGGAAATTTCCTCATGATAACCCCGCCTTCGGATTGATCGCAGTAACCCCCACGCGTGTAATTCCCCCCCCCCCCCCCCCCCCCCCCCCCCCCCCCACCCTTCGCTTTATCGGGACGAAGTCTCTTCGAATTTTCGTTCCCATACACCCACCATCGAGATCGGGCGAATCTGTAATGTCAGATCTAGTTTGCTGTTATTGGTCGAAATAGTTGTGCTCTGTCACAGCGCCAGTCACATCGCAAGTTACAGCGCCAGTCACATCGCCACAGTGCCAGTCACATCGCCTGTCACATCGCAAATCACAGCGCCAGTCACAGCGCCAGTCACAGTCACCCTTGCGAAACCAACAGCAGATTCGACCTTTGCTCCGTATTAGCAGATTCGATTTGCTAGGTCAAGGCAAATTCTGCCTGAAATCCCCGTAGACTGTCAGTTCTCGAGCAGATGTTGCGATTATGTAGAGTGAGACTTCGTTCCCCGGTAAAGAAAGAGCGCGTTACTATGACTCTGATTTTCAATTCTCGGCCCTGAACATTCGGAGTTCACTACTTCTCGACCCTGAGCAATCAGAGTGCTGTTTTTCTGAAACATGTGCCTTCAGGGTTTTTTTTTTTTTTTTTTTTTTTTTTTTTTTTAAGGTTGAACTCAGGGTACCTAAATTTGAAACGTCAGCCCTGACTGGAGCACAACTGGCTGGATCTAGAAATGGCCAGCTAGGGCCGGCTAGAGGTAGGAACGGCCGGAGCTAGAGACCGTAAGTGCGGCTGTCGGCTGCCGCTAGTAGAGCCACTGGCAGTGGAAAGTACGTGCGGCAGTAGGGGCTGCAGTACTGACGGCTGCGAGATGTAGGCAACTGTGCAGGTCGTCCGGCAAGCAGGCTAGGCTAGGCTAGGCTAGGCAACGGAGCACGGGTGGGCTAGGCTAGGCTAGGAGCGTACCTACGCTCTGATACCATCTTAAGAGCGTGTTCCTATCCTCGTATCAAGACAACCTCGTATCAGGCTCACACAGAAAATTCCCCTAAACCCAAAACCTCTCGCTAATTTTACCAGGCAAAAAGTACATTCTTGATACGAGGTTTGCTCATATGAGGCCGTAGAAACACGCCCTAAGAGTGATGCGTAGAAGAATCGTGAGACTGGGAAAGCAAGGCAGTACAAATATGAAACCTTAACTGAGTTGTACTCACTAGGGAGCACCTCACTACAGCCTATAATAGATAATAAAAATTGACAACAAGGTACAACTCAGTTCAGCATTTGACAACTCTGATTTATGAGGGGCTTGTTTTGTTTTCAACAGAAAAAAAGGGTATATGTTGGGCTGAGAAAAGCCCTTAGGATCTTTCAAGGCTAAGACCCTGAGTAGGAATGTTGTAGTTGCGGAAGCGTTTAATGATAAGCTGTTGAACCACCTTACGCTGGTATGTGAGGGCAAGATAGATTGATTATATCAAAGGAATACAAGCTTTTATAAGATTACAAGGAATATGAAAAGGTGCAACTAACTGTTTTACTGTTGCTGGTGCGGTTCGATACAGTGACGACTCGAGCAGCTGCTCAATACCGAGTCAGTTGTTTGTCCTTGCTGTCGCACTGTATTTTGGCGAGTCAAAGGTCGCTGTCCTTTGACCTTCGCGTAACCTCCAGCTGTTGCGTTTTGTCAACCTCCTCGGTTGACTCGCCGTTGCTTTGTTGTAACTCGCTTCGTTCTACAATTCGATGTTCCGTCACAACAGAAGCGTTAAATCACTTGTTTCCAACTCTCCCCTTCGCTTCTGAAGTGTCGCTGCTGGTGATGTGGCCTTGTCCAGTCAGCAGCATACAGTACTCGAACTTCTACTTCCCGAGTTTCTTGGTCAAGTAATCTGCTACCATCTCGGATGTGGGGCAGTAGGACAGCTCGAGTCTCCCCTTCTCGATCTCGTCTTTCACGAAGAAATATCGCAGGGCGATGTGTTTCGTTCGATTCGTGAACCCGTTCTTGTTCGCTATGCAAATGGCCGATTGGTTGTCGCAGAATAGGAAGAAGCTTGGTAACTGGGCCAGCTTCGCTTCTTCCAGTAGTTCGCAAAGGTACAATCCTTCCTTGGTGGCTGAGCAGAGTGCGATATATTTTGCTTCAGCTGAAGAAAGAGCGATTAATTCAGGTTTGCTCGACTGCCACAAGATAGGTCCGATAGGCTCAAGTCGGTAGATGTAGATGGTGCGCGATCGCATATTGTCGGAATCGCCGGCGTGGTCAGCATCCACGTAGCCGATTTGTCAGAAAGAAGGAAAATGAATGACTAGAATAATAGCAGTACAGGGGTTGTATAGCAAAACCTAATAGGGCTCTACCCCATAAGGAGTGTGTCAGAAACAACAAGTGATTAAACTATGAACATTGGTGATACAAGTAGCAAACCCTAGAGTGTTGTACCCCTTAAAGGCTAACCCACTATAGCCTACACAGCAATTACATATATAATGTTTGACACACCCCCATAGGCTAAGTGGGGTAGAGCAAGGGGTCACAAGACTAGTCAAGAAAGAGAACGCAAGCACAGGGTGGATCACAAAGTCACCACACACACTGAGCACAAGCAAAGGGGCCACAGGGTCAGTTCACATGCAGAGGCATATATGCAACACAAACATCACAGTGATCTCTACCTAACAATGCAAGCATGCAGGTATATATATATAGATCACAGTACAAGCAATGCCTACAGCAAGTGAGGAAAAGTGGGCACAAGCCCTAGCATAGTGCAGAAATGCTGATGATCACCAGACTGAAGTGCCTTGGTGAATATATCAGCAGTGTTGGCCCGATTGGCCACGTAACGCAGACGAAGCTGACCACGCTGCTGCAACTCTCGAGCCAGGAAGTAACGCAGAGCGATGTGCTTCGTTCTGT